GAAAAGGAAGAAACAAAGTGCTAGAGAGGCCCACAGAAATCCATAAAAATACCCCCACAATAGACTGCTGGCAATGGTCGAGAAATAGCCGGAACTGAACTACTCTGATGATGGGATGGCCAAACACCCTAATAGTCGTGCTAGAAACCCCATCCAATGACTGAGGGATCTGGATGCAGAGATCCGTGGCTAAGCCCCGGGTGGAGCTTCAGGAGTCTAATTAGCGAGAAAGAGGATGGTTTATATGAGTGAGAATTGTTGAAACCAAGGTTGGATAAAGCACAGGGACAAATAGCCAAACGAATGGAGACACATGAACTATGAACCAAAGGATGAGGGGCCTCCAACTGGATCAGGCCTTCTGAATAGGTGAGACAGTTGATTGGCTTGATCTGTTTGGGAGGCACCTAGGCAGTGGTTCTGAGTCCTGTGCTCAGTGCATGAGTTGGCTGTTTGAAACCTGGGGCTTATGCAGGGACGCTTGGCTCAGTCTGGGAGGAGGGGACTGGACCTGCCTGGACTGAGTCTACCAGGTTGATCTCAGTTCCCTGGGGGAGGCTTTGCCCTGGAGGATGTGGGAATGGGGAGTTTGCTGGGGGGAAGGGGAGGGTGGCAAGAGGGGAGAGAACAAGGGAATCTTTGGCTGATATGTAGAACTGAATGATATTGTAAAATAAAATAAAAGGAAATAAATAAATAAATAAATAAAATGTGTTCCTCTATGTGGAAGATGCCAGGACATTGAGATCCTCCACAGACTTCCCTAAATAATGATTTCAGCAAAAAGTTGATACCTAGTATTTGAGCTAAAATGAAACCTTTTGAATCATTAAGCCAGGAAAATATTTCTTCCATTTATATTTGCAACATAGCCTATTACCTTGTTTTACACCATTGTTATATTTAATAAATAGGCTTATGACAAATTTTAGAAAATTTCAAAAAAATTTAAGTAATCTCTCCTAAACAGATTTTTTCCCTTAAATAATCACTAGAGGCAAGAGATTGGTGTAGCAGGAATGGTAACTCGTCTTAATTATAAAAACCCGGAGTCAGATATGGTGAAAGCTGAAAGACCAGAGAAGCAGAGCAGCCAGCCACTGGAAAGACTTCCTTCCTCTCAGAATCCTCAGACTGAAAGGGCCAAGTTCCTGCCTCCACCCTGCCTTATCACTTCCTCTCTCCACCCTGCCTTATCACTTCCTCTCTCCACCTTGCCTTATCACTTCCTCTCTCCACCCTGCCTTATCACTTCCTCTCTCCACCCTGCCTTATCAATTCCTCTCTCCACCCTGCCATAGCATAGCTCCCCACTCTGATCTCTAGGCAAGCTTTATTTGGTAGAGCACAAACAAAATATCACCACAGATTGAATCTTGCCAAGAATGAGTAGCTAACTGCCAAATTGATTTGAAAACTTTGAAATGTAAAGAGAAAATTTTCAAATTGTAATATTTGAAAGCTGAGAGTTGCCAGTCATCTGGACTCTGCTTTTTCCTTTCTCCACATTTCTTGTTGGTTTTTTCTTTTGTTTTGTTTTTGCTTTTCCCCAATCTCTTCCAAATCCTTCATTTTGCTTTCTCCTTTCCCCAAAGATATAATTGGGTCTGGTTTGCAGGGTCCCTTTCATTGCCTCCTGGAAGATTAAATATTCTATTTTACCTAAAAGCATATTTTTACCTCTCCCCCTTCAGTCTATTTAGACAAAATTCTCTTCATCCTGACTTTTTGGGCCTCCAATTACCTCTTCTGTTTCCCACCTTTACTTTCTCTCTATCATCTTTATACTAATCACTAAACTTATTGCATTTTCTTTTATCTTTTTTCTCCATTCATTTCCAATAATCTAATTCCAATTTCTAATAATAACTAATATATTGGTATACAAAGGAAATCGAATTCCTTTCCATCAAAACACTGCAAAAGACACATTTATCAGCAGTTCATGAAACATTCTCTAAAATATAGCATATACTAGATCACAAAGCAACTATTTAAAAATTTTTTAAAAAATGTAAAATAATTCATTATATTTTATATAACCACCATAAACTGAAGGTCGTAAATCATGAAGATTATATAACACATCAAAGAGTGATAAATCAGTGACTATAGCAATCAAGATGGAAATCAAATGAGTCTAGAATTGAATGAAAATACAAGACACAAAAAAACTGCATATTGCAATGAAGGCAATCGGAAGAAGGAAGTTTAGAGATTTAAGTGCCAACATCAAATATCAGCTAGGACTTAAATAAAAATCTTAATTATGTACATTAGGTCATTAGCAAAGCAATTCCAAACCAAACCTAAACATATTAGACATATAAAACTTATTAAGATTATGGTACTAGTTAATAGAATAAAAACAAAAAAATGCAAAAAAATCAATAAAACAAAGAATTTCTCCCAAAAGATTGTTTGAAAATGATGAAGAAGTCAATTACTTCCAAATTATTTACATTAATTTACTCTTGGCCTATAAACTTTTTACATTTGTAAAGACTTTGAATGCTGGAGTTTGTTTTAATAAAACTATTAATGAGAAACCTATTAATGTTTGTTAAAATCTACTTTACTGGAACATAATAAAGTTCCAAATTATGAACTTTATGAATAATCAAGTAAGTTAACACAGCTGATAAACATATATTGGTACTTCCACACAAAGTATATAATGAACATAGATTATAACCAGCTAAAGGAAGAGATTATTTTATATAAATGTGTTGGGAATATTTTTATTATCACTATAGAAAGAAGGCAAATACTCAAATTTAAAATTACTTTAAATGTAGATCACACAATATCACAAAAAATTGCTATGCAAGATAACACATACATAAAGACAGTTTTATCATTTTATGGTACACTCTGTCTTAGGGTTTCTACTGCAGTTGAGGCTATCCCTTCACAAATGGCCTTTCCTGATTTCTTGTAGCACAAAATCTCAGCATCTCCATGACCCCCTCAGGCCTTCAAAACCAGTAGCACCTGGGAAACTCTTGCACATTATCAAGTGGAGTTGCCAGCACAAAGAACAGCCATGGCTCCCTCTGTGCTTCTATGTGCTGGCCAGGAGGAAATATTTCCTAGATTTTGCCTCAATTATGCTTGTCTCTCTTTTTTTAGGGTTTCTGGGTTTTTTTTTTCCCAATACAATTCAGTTCTACATATCAGCCATGGATTCCCTTGTTCTAGCCCCTCCTGCCCCTCTCCTGGTCTCTTCTTAATCACAGCTGATACCTTTACCACAGATGACCACGATAGATTGTCCCAACAAGGCAAAAGTTTCACTTTAGTGGTTCTGGTGTCTTGTTAGTCAAAACCAACACTTCAGCTCAAACTGACCAGAACCAGAGATTCTTAGTCCAAAATAATACACAATATACCCGATAGAGCCTTTGCTTCCCTCTGAAACCTCGCAGGCCAGGCCTCCATTGTCAGCAATGCTCTCAACATTCTTATTTTCCAAGGTCTCAGAGAACATCCCTCTGAGCTCTAAGCACTCCATAGCCTTTCCAGCTTAAATACCATCATAATCCTCCATAAAATACATGTCTGGGTCTGTCACAGTGATGTCACAATCACAACTATTTTGTCTTTATTGAGTTTTAATTGCTGGGATAAAACCGCATAACCTAATTAACTTGGGGAGGAAAGTGTTTATTCCATCGAATGATTGTAGTCTATCATGAAGGGAAGTGAGGGTATGAACCTGAGGCAGGAGTCTAGAGTCAGTGACCATGTACAAACTTTACTTAGTGGTTTGCTCCCTATTACTTCACCATTTGGACTTTTTATATACTACCTACCCAGGCATGGTACTTCCCACATTAGGCTGGGCCAACAGATACATACACATTTCTGAACAATTATGTACATTGTAAATATTAATAATTTTCTTGATAAATGCTAAACATTATTTAAATTCTTATACAATAAGTTTAAATTACAAGTTTGTGTTCATCAAAATAAATGGTAATGGTGACACAAAACTCACACACAAGAAACGTGATATATAAAAAGTATTTAGTTTACAGTATAGCCAAAAAAAAAAATCAATAAAATTATAAGAGAAGTACACTTTATTGAAAATTGGACAAAAAATATTATGGAAGATGACAAAAGTGTGATGCCCAATAAACATGAAGATATGATTAACTTAAGTAACAATAAAGAAAACTAGAATCATGGTGACTACCAGTCCTATACCCACTACATTGCCAAAAAATACCTAGGTTCTCACAATGACAAGTACTGGTACAAATGCAGAACATTGAAACTCATACTGCTAAAACTGATTGCTGAATGTTTCTTTACCATTAGTAAAGCATGTTCAGTGAGGAGAAATTCTTATTATGTCTGTAGTGAACATGTTACTCCACAGCTTTGCCATAGCATTTTTAATCTCAAGGTTTCTCAGAGTATATATTAAAGGATTCAACATGGGAGTTAAAATTGTATAAAATACAGTAATATATTTATCAATAGGAAAGTTGGAGACAGGTCTAACATACATGAAAATGCAGGGAACAAAGAAGAGGACAACCACCATGACATGGGAGCTGCAAGTGGACAGGGCTTTGCGTCTCCCTTCCTGACTGTGAGTCTTAAGAGAGTTCAGAATGATTCCATAGGAGCCAAGGAGAAGGATAAAGACCACTACAGACATTGCTCCATTATTTCCAATAACAGTGAGGCCAAGGAAGTAGGTGTCAGTGCATGCAAGGCCTAATAATGGGTACATATCACAGATAAAGTGATCAATGACATTGGGTCCACAAAAAGGAATTATATAAACAGAGATAACTTGAAGCAGAGCATGAGCCAATCCTCCAGCCCAGGATGCCAAAAGCAAGAGAATGCAAACCTGTCGATTCATGATGGTCAAATAGTGCAGTGGCTTACAGATGGCCACATAGCGATCATAGGCCATCGCCACCAAAATGAAGACTTCAGCACCACCAAATAAGTGCTCCACAAAAAGCTGAACCAGACAAGCTGTGAAGGAGATGGTCTTTTTTCCCCAAAATAAGTCTGTAAGCAACTTGGGCAAGATGACAGTAGAATAAACAGCATCCACGAGTGATAGAAAAGCAAGAAAGAAGTACATTGGAGAGTCCAAGGAAGGGCTGGCAATCACTGTCCCCACAATGAGCAGGTTGTCCACCATTGTCACAATGTAGATGAGTAAGAACATGACAAACAATGCTTTTTGACCAGCAGGATCCTGAGTGAGACCCAGAAGGATAAACTCTGTAACATTGTTTTTCTGTCCCATTTATTCTTTTATCAGGCTTGTTTCAGAGATAACATCTCAGAGAACAAGACCTGACACTAATTGTGACCAAAACCCAGATTTCCATTCTTCCAGAAGCCTGTCTTCATCAACATCTTCTACATTGGTGAACCTCAGTAGTTCTTCGGTGACCACCTGTTGAGTTCCTCTTGGGGATTTTCCATAGTTCTGCTCTAATAATTTTGTGGATATTAGCATTTCTCTCAAAAAATCTCAGCTTGTTTATATACAGAAGAGCAGACAAAGGTGTCTTTCTCATTCATACATTTAAAAGTGATTATTTAAAACACATTATATCACAAAACACTGGAGAATTATTAGCTCTGTTTAAGAATCCTGTGAAGGAGGAATGTTAATAAACCCTAAGACTAGTATACTTATAGTATACTAGTATACATAGAGTGTTGACTACTAATATCTTAGGGGAAAATGTCACGATATGATCTGTGCAGTATCCAAAATAAGACTGGCCCTAGGGCACCCTCTCAATAATTTACATTTTAACTATTATATATTTCAAATACTGTAAATGTCAAAAGACTTTTATTCTTTAAATGTCTTTTATTCAGTCTCAAAAGACTTCCTTTGAATTGTATCAAATAGCTCTAGCATTATTTTTCATAGTACCATTCCTTTATCTGATTCTGATTGTCGGGATTCTCAGGAGGTACATTTGTGTCCATTTAATCACTGGCTTTCACATTTATTAAACACATTTAAGTGAATCATAATTGCCTCCACATACTTTTACCTGAAATGAACTAACTCACAGTTGTCACTGACTACTGCAGCACTGGTGAAGCTTTGTTTTCAGAACTCCTGTGATAAACTGGGTGATGAAACAGGAGCAATAGAAACTGAAAGATGGATAATGATGCTTCCTAGGTCCTGAGGTGCTCAAGAAGAAATTCGATCCAGATCTCCAAATACAGAATGCTCACAGAAACATTCTATCTAGTGTGGAAAGGCACGGCCATAGATCATTTACTAAACAAGTTATGAACATGACTCAATTTACACATTGTAAGTTAAAGAGATTAGAAAACATGATTTAAGAATTTTTCCTGCCTCGTAGTCTACTGTACAATTAGTACGATTAGTTCAAAACTATATTTTTTTCCTGATGCTATCATAGTTGTTTTGCATAATCAATCTCTAAGCTTATACTCACTTATTTAATAATGACAATCAGGAGTAAATAGGATGTGATCATGACACTAAATAATGACTCTGTTTTTTATTCATAATGTACCATAAAATAACATCAAACACACTTTTAAACAGAGAGAGTAGCACAGTGGTGAATTCTGCGGACTCTGAGTCATGTGTTTGTGTTTCAGTGTCAAGATCACTCACTTACTACCTATATTATCTTACTGCCGGGAGCTACACTATCTGCTTCCTAGGGTGCTTTGTTTAGTTTTGAGTTTTCTTCTTGCTCTCCTCACTATTTATGACATCTAAATGAATGTTAGCTATTAGTAGTGCTGTGCTTTGTGTTTCTTTTAGGACATAGGTAAAAAAGTAGTTTAGGGATTTGGTGTTCTATTACAGTAAAGTGTCCACAACCATTACCTGTGAAGGATTATGTTTCAACTGGAAACAAGCAAGGAGAAACTCATCTACATGGCTTAGTAGTAGTTAAGGGCATGTGCAAAATCTTCACTTCCTTCAGATGTAAGCTGTGATGAACCTTCTATGTAATTCAGACACATTTTGGCTATTACCTGATGTAGAAGATCTACACTTGCCATACTTGAAGCTTCAGACTGATGAAGGCCCACATTTAGTACAGCATAAGAATAGAAAATATCCAGTTGCCATGCAGAGGTGGCACACACCTTTAATCCCAACACTCAGGAGAGGGAGGCAGGCTGATCTCCATGAGTTCGAGGCCAACCTTGTCTACAGAGCTAGTTCCAGGAAAGCTAGGGCTATTACACAGAGAAAACTTGTCTCAAAAAAGAAAAAAAAAAAGGATAAACATCCAGTCCTATCATTTTCACATCAATTTTCTGTATGTTTTAGCACCTTTCAAACTTTAACCAGCATTGGGTTCCACCAGAACAAATTTTCTGGAAACCAGTATAGTTATTACATAACAAAGTGAGAACAGAGTTCTTCAGCCATCTTATATTTATGCTCATGTAAACTAGACTATAGATTATTAAAGATCTGATTACAAAAAAATAGAGAATACAAATGCTTTAAATTTAAATTTCTGTTCATTACTTTCAGAAAAAAAAGTAATAATTAAACCAGGCATTAATTGCTTTTTTGAAAGAGAGTTTTATAATTCTAGAACTTTTTCAACCATAGAGAAGAATGAAGCTATGTCACTTACTGGAAGATGATGTAACAAAAAATTATATAATGAGGAAATTAAGTCCATTTCTGAAACATTAATGTGGAATTGTTTTATTTTGTTGATCCCAAATTTTTGTAGAAATGTCAAATTGTATGTGTATAGATAATATGAAGGTAAATTGAAGCTCTCTGAATAAAGGATATAAATAAGAGGCAGAGAGTGAAAGGAATGCAAGTTGATGGTTAGGGAGGAAATAGGCTCAAAGTGCATTATATACTTATTAGAAAAGTGATCTTATGAGAGTCACCACAATAACATTTAAAATTTTTAATTTTTAATTAAAATACTTTTCAATATCAGTGTAACAAACCTAATTGGATGAGTTACTTCACTATGGATTACTCTTTACATACATACTATCCTATTGAATAATTTTAGCTACATATAAAAGCATACATCTAAATGACAGATGTATGTGTGCTTTGTATGTAGCTAAAAGAGAAAGAGTAGAGAGTAGCTACTTGATGGACATTTGTTTCCCCACATGCTAAGCACTAGGAATAATATGCAATTCTAAATATCTTCATTTAAATGTATATAAAAATAATTACACATCTTTGTTAATACATCCACATTATAGGTGCAATAAAATAAAATAATAAATCCATTGCTGATTTTGAACACATACAATGCATTCACTTTTTAGCTGGTAAAATAGAAAATAAATAAATCAGTCTATATTTAAAAATACATTGTATATTATGATTACATATGGTTTTGTGTGATTTTATTTAATATTCCCAATTTATATATTTCCTATGGGAATGCATGACCTTTAAGACATTAGGAAAGGAATATTTAAGTTATGTGTTTTGTTGCTAGCATTATAGACATATACCTTAGGTCTATTTTTTGTTCTGGAAAATGCAGTGTCTTTTACTGTATTGATTACAAATTCTTCACACAGTTGTGTGCCTTTGAGAAAACATCTTAACTTATAGCTGTTCACTAAACACAGAAAGATTATCAAGTGACTGCACCCAGTACATTTTCACAAGACTTCCCTTTATCTCAGTCTTTTTGGGAGGTGTAAGTGTATCCAAGTGAATATATAAACCAAGAAGCATTTAAATACAACATCAACACTTACTATAAAAGACAGTTGGATAGTCTCATCCTCAGGGAAAATATCTTCAGGAAAAAAAAAACAAAGAATATGTGTTTATTCAAGTATGTAAACAGTTAACAGAATAAAGGGAAATTATTTGCTCAACTTCAGTATTTACTGATGAAAAATTTTTATCTCTGAACTAATTATGAGACTATTTCCATTTTCAGTCCACTGAAGTGAGGTACTCTGAGGAGGCCTGCTTTCAGAAAATATGATAGGATTTATATCCCTCATAAATATAGTAGTAACTAACAATAAAAAGGTAATGATTTAAATATTTAAAACACTGATGATAAAGAATTTCAATGACTGAAAGAAATCTTTTATCTTTAAAGATCTTGAAGTAGAATCTCACTAAGACCCCTTTCTTCCTGTTTAGAAACACATCCTTATATGTAGAAGGTCCAGGAAAATTGAGACATTCCACAAATTTTCATATTCAAAGAATCCAGGAAAATTGAAACATTCCACAAATTTTCATATTCTAAGATAAATACTGCAAGTAAAAACATAATATAACAAGGACTAACTATCAAATGAAAGTATACTCCAGCTTGGCAATCTCTGAGTTTTCAAAGGCCTCTAGATCATTTAATTAGAAAAATAGTTCTTCCATTTATGTTAACTGTATGAGCACATCTATTTTAGTAGATAAGCTAATTAGACTATTTGGAACAAATTCAAATGAAGCAGTGTCCCTTGAACAGGCTTCTGCACTTCTGTAATCCCTGGAGATAAGAGCCTCAGATCTTGCCAAAAATGAGACCTAACTCCCAAGATCATTTGGAAAACCTATAATGTGAAAAGAAAATTTCCAAAATATAATGTATAGGAACTATGAGTTGCACATCATGATGCATTTACATAAGGCAAGTAATGGTTAAACCAGCATGAAATAGCAGCAGCCTTGGTCCCTGCAATTAAGGACACCACAACAAAGCATAGTCTCAATCAGTCCAAAAAGCCATGAGCTACAGAGGCTGAGAGCTGAGCCTTCTGCATCCCTTAGAGCTGAAAATTGGTGTTTTAACTTTCAGGGAAACAAAGCTTTTGATTAAGGCTTGGATCTGTGTGAGATGGAACCACAGTGATCCTCATTCTTTTTATCTTATTCTTTAGTTTCTGTCCAATATTAAACAACTGTTGCTATTAGAAAAGCATTCATGTCTTCCTAAAATTGACAGTGTTCAAGGGCTTCCAGCCTATTCTCTTATTTTGGCAGTCATCAACACAGTGAGCACATGTACTTCAGATACATTTAGATACATATTGGTATTTCTGTGTCACAAAGGCCTAAATGTGAACTACAGCTGATAGGTGATGGAATTACTAAACAATTTTAAACGTTTTAAATTTTACGAAACAAATGGATTAAATCCTGTAATGTCAAATGTATTATTTGCAAGATAAACAGCAACTGTACTCTTGGTGCTTTTTAAAAATAAATTTTAAATTTAAAAAAATTAATACTGAATTATATAATAATTAATATTATTAAATGAATTGTTTAATGTTCTGATAATTTTAATGTATTGTTGAGAATTTCATACATGTATACAATATATTTTGATCATGTTCACCCATACCCCATCCCTCCAGCTATTCCTAGGAACCAATCACCACATACTCCTCATGTTTTATTTATGTATTTACTTACTTATTTATTTTTCATACATCCCACTGTGTTCAATTAAGACAGTTTACACCACAGCATTAGTAATCTACTAGGAGCCACACACTGAAGAAAACTTCCTCTCACCCAGAAACTATTAACTGCCATAGCTCCTCAGCTGGGGAAGTGGCCTGGGAGTCCTTGCCCCACTAACTGAAT